TATATGTAGTAAACGCCACGAATGTTTGGGAGTGATTCATCGCTTGATGAAGTTAGAACCGACACGCGCGCTATCATTTTTACATTTAAAACGTAAATTTTTATCGCAGACGTAGGTTTTTAAAAGCCCTGTTTAATCATCTGCCTGCGGTCCTCCTACTTATTCTAAAATGTTAGCGTGAATGACAAAGACGATACTATATCGCGTTTCTTTGATTGATTCGTTTTTGTGCGTCAGTCCATTGGTGTGCTTGCAGTGCGACCAATGGGGCATTTCAGTTTATATTTATAACCAAATATATGTTTTGACAAGACTTTGACAGTTAAAACAACAAATTACAACAGATTATATATTGATTATTATATGACTTGAAGCACCACGGCACTGGAATTAAGTTTTATGTGACCTTGAACAGATTAGTTCACATGGTAGCGACCGATGAATCACTCCCAAACATTCGTGGCGTTTACTATACATAATTGAGTGCATTATAATTTTCTTACATTATACCTTACACGACCAAGTAATAGTATCAGTGTGCTTATATTTTTTAAAACTAGAAGTATAGATTTACGTATATACATACATCATACTACATACTGCCATTACTCGCTGAGTATTTGACACGCATCAGAAGATGGTCACACAAGGCGTTTTCTTTCATGAGCCTTTCTATGACTGAAAAGCCCGATACGTGATGTTATCTGTCTACCGCACTCCGAACGTTTAAAAATCTCATTGCTTTGTTGCCTCTGCACTTTTTGGTTGTCGCTGTTAACAGAGTTTACAATTCTTCTCCATTCCGTTGTATTGTGAGCTGCTTCTTCCCACTCATTCTGCTTGTTAATCCACTTAAGTTTTCGTGGAAAATATCCTTGTACCTTTTGAGTTGTCCACCCGGCCTCCTCTTACCGTCTACAAGCTCACTGTAAAGCAGATATTTTGGTATGTGGTTTTCTTGCATTCTGCATACTTGACCAGCCCATCTTAAGCGGTACTTTGTAATCATGACATCAATACTCTCGCAGTTAGCTTTTTCAAAGACCGATACGTTTGAGACATAATGGAACCATTTGATTCTTAAGAGTTGTCTAAGATGTCTTTGTTACAACTTGTTTAATGCGTTCATGTGTCGGCGGTACCGCACCCAGGTTTCGCTTACATATAACATGGTGGGAATTATTATTGCTCGGTACGCTGCAAGTTTCGTTTTTGTGCTTAAGTCATGATTGTAGAAATCCTGTCTTTTAATTTCCAGAATGCTCTTGAGGCGCTGCCCATCCTGTGCTGAACTTCAGAATCAATATTGGCCTTTTCCGAAATCAAACTACCGAGGTAATTGAATTCCGCCACATATTCCAATAGTTCTTCACCGATTTTTATAGCATTGTTGGGATCTTCCGGGGGAGTGCACAGGATTTTGGTTTTGTAGATGTTTAGCTTATTGGGCCTTAAGCTAAACATCGACAAAACCAAAATCATGTGCACTCCCCTCGTATGCCCAGGTATACAATATGTTCAATATTTCTTGCAATTGCTGTAACGTATTTGCAACTAGAGCACAGTCATCAGCGTATTGAAGTCCTGTGATGAATTTTGTACGTGTTTTTGACCTGAGTCTTTTTATGTTGAACAGACCGCCGTCGTATCTGTATCTAATGCCCAAACCTCTCTCATGCAGTTTGCTGTCCAGTATAATGAAGAGCGCTGCCCTGAATATATTGAATAGAAGAGGCGCTAAGACACGTCCCTGCCTAAAGCCTGTGTTTGTTAGGAAGGGATCGCTCAGGTGATCCATGATATTATGACACTCTTGATTTGTTGTTATTATATGGAGGCTTTTACACACTGTAAGAAATTTGTTGGGTACTTCGAACTTTTTCATAATTGCCGAAAGTGCACCTCTGTTCACAGAGTCAAAGACTTTTGTTAGATCGATGAAGCTAACATAAAGTTTAGACTGCTGTTCTTTTCCTTTTTTTGTAGTTGGCGGATGGAGAATATGGATTCGCGGTTGGTGTGAAAACCCGTTTGCAATTCTGGGAGGATTTTTTCTATATGTGGGTGCCGATTACGTACAAAATATAGTAGATAAGTTTTTTTATGCTGAAATCACTTTCTTTCAAAACTTACGAGCCGCCACTGAGTTATATATTCTTGTTGAGTGAAAAATCTCTGTAGGTGGTTGCATGTATGATAATTAATCTACTAATATTAATTTACTACCTATGTTGCCATATTATTTAATGTTTTTTTTTAACAGAAAAGCAAAATATTTGCGATTTTTTTAAATACAATTTTTTCATATTTTTGTCAAATAAAACCATAGACCTTTTTCTGGGATCGAAACATACCACCCCTAAAATTATATGAACTTACTTAAGACACACCTTGTATATGTATATGTTGGAGGCAGATGCCGAATTCGGCCTATGTCCGAAATAATTAGACATATGGCGATTTGTCCATACTAAACTTGCCAGATGCGTGCAACTTCGTGGTTATAAATCTTAGTCTTTTTATAACTTCTTTGCGAAGGGGGTTAATCTTTTTTTGGTTTAATATAACAACAAAAGATTAACACCCTCCGCATAGAAGTTGAAACCAATGCAATCAAAACTCTTCCGCGTAACTTTGTGGATATAGGTAGGTATATTTAATTATAATCGGCATATGTCTAATTATTTCGAACATAGGCCGAATTCGGCATCTGCCTCCAACATATAAATACTGAATTTTCAAAAAACATGACCATATTTAGAATTTAGACTAAATTATATGAGACTAATTTTATGACCAGTTCATTGAGCTAAAAGATATAGAGATCTTAATTTAAGAAATTTCAACCTAATTTGGAAGTAAGGTTACTCATCCAGTACTTTTGACATAGACTCCGTAAATAACGAACAGAACTCTTTATGAATATTTTGAAAAAAACTTTCTTTGCACTAATTTTAAGAACACATAATCCAGTTCAAAAATATTCTGCATAAAATTCTAAAATATAACCTGAATAAAAAAAATCTAAATTTTTAATAATAGCACTCTGTTTTTTTAGCAAAATGCATCAGTTTTCATAAAATTTTTAATGGCAAAGAATAAAATACAAAAATAACAACATTGAATTCGTTTTGTTTTCAAAATGCGATATTCCCGAGTATTTTTAAAAATTGCTGAATATATTGCAGATATCTATTGTTGCAGAGAAACGAAAGGCAATTTTGTAATTTGATAACAATTTTATATTCAAAAATACGCGTCCGCGTATGCCGTGTCAAAAGAAATTTTTTTTTTTGTTCAAAATTCGATTTTAGGTTGATATGGTAATTATCAAAAAATATACAGGGCGTTTCAAAACAAATGCGAATAACTTCAGGGGGTGATTCCTTGTTCAAATAAAGGGTAGTTTACTTCATAAACGTTGGGTCAAAAGTCAACCATTAGGGAGATATCGCGGTACAAATATGGCGGAAAATTATGTTTATATTTTTTATCTTCAAAAAGAAAAGTTCCTACAAAAGACGTTATGTTTTTATTTGAGTTGCAATGTTTAAACATTAGTATTTTAACGATATTATTTTGTACTTTCATGAATTAAAATACAGATTTAAAAATTGTCTTGGCAAATAATTTTTAAGAGGTTATCGTTCAGAAGAAAATGTAACGATATTATTACGAAATAAAACCGTTTGACAGCAGAGCAGCCCACTAGATTCTTTATCTAAAAATGTTTTTTGTCTTTTGTCTGAGGGCTGATCATTACGCGAAAAATGCACGTCTAAACGGTACAGACAGGTTATCAGTTTATTCCACGGGTTGTCTGCTCACAAAAATTGCCCGACTGTGCAAATCCCTGGTTCAACTAGAGTGGGATCTTCTGGAGGAACCTAACAAACTCTGGAATGTAAAAAAGACATTCTTGATCGTCGCAAAGCCGTAGTAATTAACAGACTCATGTTAGGACATTGTAGGTTTTCTCATCAATTTTTACTTAAGGGTCACCACCGCCTTATGTAATGAATGTAGTAATCCTTTAACTGTCAAACATATCCTTAAGGAATTTAGTCAGTTAATTAACCTAAGAGAGGGCTGCAATCTTTCGTCAGACATGTCAGTTATTGTGAACAACCAAAACTTTTTGATTTTCTGGAAAGATTGGGATATATATATCTAAAATATAGGTATCTAAAAAGCTACATTTTGGTTTAAAGCAACCAATTACTAATTCAATTGTACATATTTTTACGTTTTATTGATTTATTCTATGTTGTCCGTACCATTTACTTTTTATTTGTACAAAATCAATGTCTGTACTCTAAACATATACAATTTGTCTGTAAACGTGTTGTTCAGTAAAATGTCAAATATTGTACCGTACTAAAATAGCAGGTGATACGCCGCTAAATAGCCTTTGATGCTGATACGGCTTGAAAGCTAAATTTCTTCTTCTTCTTCTTTTTTGTCTGACATGTAATGTTTTACATTTTATTCTTTAATTTCAAATTGGTGTTAAATCTTTGTACCGCGATATCTCCCTAATGGTTGACTTTTGACCCAATGTGTATAAAGCAAACTACCCTTTATTTTGAACAAGGAATCACCCCCTCTAGTTTTTCGCATTTGTTTTGAAACACCCTGTATAAATATTAAAAAAACAGTATTTGGTCATTTTTCGAAAGGGTGGAATAATATTTTTTAATATACCAAATTTGTTTCAAGGATATACCGGGTGCCTCTCAAAAGTGGCTCACCCCTATATATTTTTTTTATTTTTTCAGATAAAAAATATAGGGTTAAGCCACTTTTGACACACACCCGATGTAGTAGACAAATAATTTAAATAACATATTATCCCTGCATGGCGACAAAGTTTAAAATTTTGCGATATTTTGCGTACATTACTACCGGATTAATTCTGTTTTTTCCTTATTTGTATTGTAATTGGGATTTCGGTTAGACAAAAAAATAATTATAAATATAATATAAAAAAATATGTTTACCTGTACAAATTAAATGTTTCTGCTGACGGAATATCTTCTTTTAAAAGCTTCCCCGTTGCTTCGTTGCTGGCCGTTGCATGATAGGACAAACACTCCAAGGCGACTTTCTGTTTGGCCATCAGTTTGCAAGCGTTCTCGTACATTTGGGTGTTGTGAATACCCAAACCACAAAAAATGGCGAACGCTTCGAAAAGTGACACGTCGCACTCGGTGAACGGATTGCCATTTTCCTTGTTGATCAATTGTGCAACGCCTGTAACAAAATACAGAATATCTAAAATAGCGCCCATTGTATAGTCTGTACGACGACTCAGGGAGTACTAACAATTCTTAATGAAACAAAACCAAAAACCTTAAACTGTCTATATTGATTTTTCACTTTCTGTAACATTATTTTTCTTTATAAAATAAAAAATAATAAAACAAACTTTATTAACTTTTAGATTAGTACATAAAATAACACAGCCGTTTCTTAAATAAAGGCACCTAAGACAATGTCTTGTGTTGTGCCTTGTTTTGAGAGTTACTTTCTTATTAAAAGTTAACTACACGCAGAAAGAAAGAGAAAAAAAAACATTATAAATATTATGTAATAAAAGTATACAAGCTATAATTCTAAAGGTTGATAATAATGGTTTGTGCTAGACCAACATGGAGTGTACGTATATAAGATTTAATGTTCTTTTTGAAAATACGGCTAGAATATCTCCTGTATAACGAAGGTAAACTGTTATATAATTTTATTCCATTATAAGATACTTTTTTGGCAGACTGATTTACTAACACGATCTATAGGAGTCATCTGTGCAGCTTGACTTCTGGTATTGTGTGAGTGGTGCGCATGATACAGATTGTTCTTCGAATGTATTAATATTAATATAGATTTAATATATAGACCTCTTACATTCAGGATACAATTTGTTGTATAGATATCTCTTACACTTACTCTACTTTTAATCTGGAATATGACGCGTATGATAAAATTCTGACAAACTTGTAACTTTTTTAGTGTGGTTTCATACGCCGAACCCCAAACAGATATGCTGTAACTAAGAATTGATTCGGCTAAGCTGCTATAAACGATAAGAAGTAGTTTTTGAGCTAGTACATTGCGCAATTGATAAAATCTGTATATAGGCTTTCTGATTCTTTTAGCCAGATAATCTATATGGAAACTCCATTTTAAGTAGTGATCGATGAATACACCCAGGTATTTCACAACATTAGTTTGGATTACTCCGTCATTAAAACCTTTAATATACATGGGACCCAATTGTCTACTTTGTCCTGCAACAGTCGGTGAGAAAGCAATATATTTAGTTTTTGAGACATTTAAACTCAGTCTATTAGCATCCAGCCATTCGTCCAACGTCTTACAGTGAGGCTTGAGCTTTGTTCCACGTCCTTTCCGATGAAAAATCTTCACAAAGCAAAATCGTATCATCCGCATAAGAAATAATTTTACATTCATTATAGTTTAATAAATCATTGATAAATATAAGAAATAGGGTAGGTCCCAGTATAGTTCCCTGTGGAATCCCAGTTTTTATAATTTTGGTGTTGCTGAGTATCCCGTTTATGTGTACCTGTTGATATCTTTCTGCCAAATAACTTTTAAATAGTGAAAAATTTTACCTCGAATACCTATATTGTTAAGTTTTTCCAGTAATCTGCTGTGATTCACAGTATCAAATGCTTTTTGTAAATCAAGAAAAATACCAATGGTCTTTTTGTTACTATTAAAATTACTCAGTATGTTTTCTATTAGAATCTGAAGTGGTTGTTCAGTGCTAATTCCCTTCTGAAAACTAAACTGACAATTTGATATAATTTTATGTTCGTTTAAAAAAGATGTCAGTCTCTTGTTAAGGCTTTTTTCAAAAATTTTTGACAGACCATTTAGTAATGAGATAGGGCGATAATTAGTCATTTCCATTTTATTTCCATCTTTGAATATAGGAATAACAATACTTTCTTTATATTGCGTTGGTACTAGTGATGTTTCAAATATTAAATTTATGATATATGCTAGAGGTTTTGAAATTACATTTTTGATGGATTGAAGAGTTTTAATTGCTATTTTATCTTTACCAGGTGATGAATCATTTCTAAGAGAGCCAATTATTTCTTCAATTTCCAAATGGTCTGTCGGTTTAAGAAACATTGTATATGAATTAATATATTGAGTGAATTTATCATTTATTTCAGAGTGACTTATATTATCGGCAATCCTGCTCCCGATTTCCACAAAATAATTATTAAACGTATTGCAAATATCCGTTTGGTCTTTTAAAATAAGTCCATTTTCTAAGATATGTTCAATGTTTGTTTTGGCTTTGTTGGATATGTTGGATACCTCGTTGATTATTTCCCATTTTTTCTTGTAATTGTTACCTGTAGAGTTCAGTTTGTTTTTACAGTAATTAGCTTTTGTAGTCTTAATTAAATAATTTAAATGGTTTCTATAATAAGTATATTGATGCTTTAAGGCTTTTGATCATTTCTATCTGTAAGAAATCTTTTCTTCAATTTATCTCTATTTCTTATAGAAGTAAGTATAGCCTTTGTCATCCAAGGTTTTATTTTGTGCTTAGAATTTTTAAGATTAATTTTTGTTGTAGAAATTTTAATCGCGTTTTGTACCTTCTCATAAAATTTATTAGTAGCCATCTGTGTATCTGTACAAGAAAAAACATCGTCCCATTCCAGACTCAACAGCATTTCATTTAAAACTTCATAATTTATTTTATTTATTGTTTTTGGTTCTGTAGCCTGGCTTGAATTTTTAATTCCGTTATACTGAATATTATAAATTAAAGGTTAATGATCAGTTAAATTGTTTTCAAATATAATAGTTTTAAAATTTACATTGCGGAATCAGATTCAACTCTTGTCGGTAGGTTCACTTGGGAAATGAATCCATTTTTGTTTAACATGCTAGTATATCTTATTGAGTTTAGATTAAGTACATCGTTTGGGTTTATGTCAATATTAAAATCTCCCACAAGAATAGTTATGTTATCTTTAATATAGTTACCAAGATAGTCATCCAAATTTTGTATGAAGTTCATTTTATCTGTAGAATTCGGTCTATATATTCCTACTACGCCCAATGTAAAAAGTGACAGGTCAACCCTACATTCAATTATTTTTATATCACCAAGAACTACCACCCTCGCATATTATGATTATTATTTATTTGTTATACATTTTTAGTTATATTATATTTATTTATGTTATGTTCATTAAAATCAAAGAAGCGATAGCCATACATTACTAATTCTACAGATGCATGAGCAATACATTTATTTATATTATACCGTATTAAATAAGCCTGCTTTTTCATTTTTGCGTTTAGAGGTTATCGCTTCTTTCATAGTAAATTTTACGTTGTTAAAATCTACTCCCGTGAGCGCTGACAATCGCCCTTTCTTAAATAATATTTATGTTCTTTAATTGAACATTTTAAGGGTCCAGATGTTTTACCAATATAACATTTATCACATTCACATGGTATTTGTATATTATATTTTTGTATTTTTTGTTTGTTGTCCAGTGATTATTGGTTTAGTGTGGATTAAAATGGATCTAAGTGTATTTTGTGTTTTGAGGGATGTACATATGATATATAGCTTTTCTATCCTTATTTTTTCCGAAACGCCTCGTATGTATGAAATTGTAAGTTGTATACCGGGTGGTCCGAACTGTTATACCGGAAACTTCGGCAGCATATTCTCTAGATAAAAATAAGTAAAAAAGTTCGTATAACTGCATGTCCTAAAATGCTTAGTTTCGGAGATACAGGGTGTAGAAATTTTATTTTTATTTCGATTTTTTCCAAATAATATCTGAAGTAACGTCAATAGTTGGAGAAAAATTGGTGTCTGGGAGTTAAAATGAAAAATTTCATATTATGTATATCGATATTACTCCTACTTGTAGAGGGCGCCATCTACATATTTTTAACAGGTTTGAAGATTAATTAATAGATAATAATTTATTTGATAACAACATGCATTTTTCATTTAAGTTGGCACAAGTGTCTGATGTAAACAGAGCCTTATGCGATATCAAGAGTAATGCTTCTGGAGTTGACAACATATCTCCAATAATGATCAGGTATTGTAGCCCGTTTATTGATAAATATATCACTCATATTATTAACTGTTGTATAGAAATAGGGTATTTTCCTGATCTTTGGAAGAAGTCTATCGGAAAACTATTGGCTAAAACATCTAAACCGGAGAGTTTTAAATATATTAGGGTAATTAGTATTCTACCAGCTGTTTCCAAGGTTTTTGAGAGAGTTCTTTATAATCAAATGTATGAATATTTCATTGATAACAAGATTATTCCTCCTAATCAGTGTGGTTTTCGACGTAATTTTAGTACAACAACGGCTCTTTTAAATGTTCTCGATGATATAACAACTTCTTATGATCAAAAAAATTATAGCCTTTTAATTTTATTAGATATTTCGAAGGCCTTTGATACTATTAATCATTCACTTTTAATTTCAAAATATTATGGCTTCGATAATATGTCTCATACTTTGTTAGAGAATCATATCTGAGTAATAGATCTCAAAAAATACTTTCGAATAATATATTTTCTAATGAGGCTAAGATATGTTCGGGGGTACCGCAGGGTTCAATTTTGGGACCCTTACTTTTTTTAATTTGCACGGTTGATATATTAAAAGTATTGAAATTTTGCAAGGTACATTCGCGGATGACACACAACTTTATTGTCGTTTTGAACCGGATGGTATTCGTGAGTCAGAAGAGCGTATTAATGCGGACCTAAAAACGCTGAATGAGCTTTTTAATGCAAATAATTTAAAACTTAACCCTGCGAAATCGTGTCTTATATTGGTCGGTAATAAGAAAAAGAGCGATGATATTAAAAAGAACTTAAATATCTTTATTGACGGATCTAAATTGAATTTTACTGAAAAAGTAAAGAACTTGGGAATTGTATTCGATTCGCAACTCAGATTTAAGGAACACCTCAAGCAGATCATACAAAAGTCTTATTTATCTTTAAAGGTATTGTATTCTAATAGATATTTATTTAGTAAAAATTTAAGAAAAAAATTGTGCGAGTCATTAGTACTGTCTAGATTTAATTATTGTGATTTTGTTTACGGCCCTTGTTTGGACCAGGAAACATACGCATACTAAGAAAATTCGATCATGTGTCACACTTGTACAAAGACATTAAATGGTTAAAAATGGACCGAAGGAGGAATTTTCATTTGTGTGTTTTTTTAATTAAGATAATAAGGGACCCACTCTCTCCTGACTCTGTCAGAAGTCGACTTACTTTTCGACGAGATTACATGACCGCAGTATTAGGAACCGAATAAGGTTAACCGTGCCTCATCATTGAACTGCCATGTTTCAGAGAAGCTTTTCTTATAATGCAGCATACTATTATAATTTAATACCTACGGATTATGTTGACTTAGGTTTGTTGTCTTTTAAAAAAAATTACAAGAACTATATTTCGAATAATTCTATGTGAATATTGTCTGATTTAATTATTGTATATGACTTAGGATAAATAATACTTATATTTTTTATATATATATATATATATATATATATATATAATATATATATATATATATATATATATACATTATGTTGTTATATATATATATATATATATATATAGTATATATATATATATATATATATATATATATATATATATATATATATATATATATATTAAGTATAGCAATTGACTTGTGAATTTAAATGTTTGCTTAGTGTCTCCATCCGGTTCAGTAGAGTAGCTATTGAGCTAGACTGCGCCGGGTAAACATGACGCACTGAAATTTTCCTATTTACTTTTTTTTCTATGTATTTGTTTTCTTTTACCTCAATAAAGGCATTTCTTATTAATAACTTTTTGTCCGTACCTGTATAAAACTACTGAGTAAACAGGTATACATTTGCGACGTTTTTTACGTAAAAAAGGTCTCTTGGTAAAAATCGCTACAGAGTAATGGTTCTCGAGATATTTGGAATCGATATTATCAATACCTATCATCACTGACATAAATTAAACATGTTCACTAATAGTACGAGAGCTAGCAACGTCGCGAAAACAAGTATTTTAAGACGTCTGGCTCTTTGATATATTTTTTACTATGCTCTCTAGAACAGTCTGGCTGCCGGTAAACGTTGCGTTCCCTACTGCGCATTGAAAGAAGATTCTATATTTTTATTAATAACTTAATATAACTTTTATATTCTAAAAAGTATTGAATATAAATTGAACATGTCTCCATAGCGCAGTGCATAGAGTTTCCGACCACGAACCGATAATTCGGAGTTCAAATCCGGGTCAGGGCAAAGACTTTTTTATTTTATTTTCGTTTATATTCTGATAGTAAAGTATTAAATATTTGTTTTTTTTTTTACTTACCGGAATGGGATGCAATGATATCTAACTTACATTTTAAATGAAACTAGGAAGCACATATGGCTAGGATTACAGATGGACGGTAGACAAAGAGACCTGTAAAATGGAGATCAAGCCTCGAGACCTATAGAAGAAGAGGAGGACCTTCTAGTCCATGGACAGATGATATAAAAACAATAGCTGGAAATTGGAATCAAGTGGCAGAAAATAGAAAGAGATGGCCAGAGTTTTTGTTCAGTAGTGGACGGGACGCGTATTTCCATAATATACCATGTAGAGAGCATGATATCTTTAAGCCCCGCCCCCAAGCTTAGTTTAGTAGCAAAGATGTCTCTAACCTGGTATAGAATTGAATTGGAAAATGCGCCAAAATCGGGTATAGTTCGTAGTCGCATTACTGGCGTAACTTTTGATACTATAAATTATATATAGTAAAATAGTAATATTCATTTATGATAATTAAAATAGTGTATATCCTATTCTTTAACATTCTTTATCATTATATTAAAAATATGACTAGAAATATAAAACAAACTAAATATCAGCAAAAATAGCATTTATTTATTAAATAATGTATATTATATTAATTTCTTTAAAATATAAAACACTAAAAAAATAATTAACATTGCTATTTCCTGTTAAACTGCCTATGTTTAGCTTAAAGCATTAAAATACTAATGTCCTTTGGCATTTGGAACATTTTTGGAAATATATTTGCGCAAGCACCATTTTTTCATTTTTAGTCTGTTCTCGAGCGTGAACCATAAATTCTTCTGGATAAAGCTCTTGATTGTACTTTAATATAATTGCTTCTTTTACAATATATTGTAGTATTTGTAAGAAATGTTTATAACTGCTGTTCTGTGACAATATGATTAGACCTTATTAATAAACCGTGTTAATATTTCCAGCATCTATCTTTCTATCATGTTAAATAAACACAGTATCCTTTCCATATTTGTTTTCAATAAAGCATGTTGGGCTGCAAAACTATTCACTAAATTCTTGAGACCTGACAAATATAGACGTAGCGTTACTTATAGCAATGTTTTTTGCTGAACAGCAAGCTGTTGACCCTTGTGAAGCTGAGTCACTGTTCATATCGAAAACTTTACTTCAGGTCTTATATTATTTAACATAATCTCTAACATACTTAATCCATCCTGATGCTTGTTTACAATTTGCAACGGTAATTGGCTAATTCAATACAAAATGCACTTCTTACATTTTGCGACTAAGAATGCTCACGTGGCTTATATTACGTTGTAACGCTGAGAAGTCGACTCCATATTCTACCGCATTTTGCGCATTATCCTATTCCATTCTATACCGCGCTAGAGACATCTTTACTGATGAACTAAGCTTGGGGGCGGGGTTTATATACCCTATGCTCTCTACATGGTATATTATGGAAATACGCGGACGGGACAAGATAAATTATGATCATATGAACACAAAATTATAAATATCTTTTTATCTTTGGAGAACTTTTAAAATTTTTTTTAAAAAAAAAATAAGATTCGGTTTATCAAACACAGTCAACCCCAACGATTGCTTTAACTTCAGTTTATATATAGATTTTAGGGTTTTCAAGAAGATATAAATAAACTCTAAATTCATGAAATTACACTAAACATTATACTCCTACCTATAAGCGTCCTTTGTCCGTTGATTATGGGCATGCAGAGTATCGTCCTGGCAGTTTCAGCATCGCCTTCGCTATGTTTCTCGCAGAGCCAAGCCCCCACGTCGCCGATGTTGAGGATTTGGCCGGTGCAGGCTGCGTACCCTGCTATTTGAGCCAAAGTGGATCCTGCCAAATCGTACGATGATGGCCTGCGACAAGAGAAAAAGAAGTTTGAAAACGAGAGAACACTATATAATATAGATTTTTGTCATTATATAACTGTTATTTTAATCTTTCTTTTGCTACTACTACGTATTTTTGGAAGCAAAATTGAAACTGATCATAATTTACCTCTATATAAAAGTACTTCATTTACCCACTAAAACATGATAGTTACAAAAATACACTTTTGAGGTATTTTAAAAACAGATATTCTGGTTTGAATGAGATTTAGTGTGTCTATGTTTTACTAGACGCATTAATATTTCACTTATACCGAAAACCAAAAAAGGTATCTGCAGGGTAAAAACTGCCCTCATCCCTACATACATACTACATATGTATTTTTCAAATCTTTATTCGTAAAGAGTTTTTTTAGTAGTTTCTACATTTTTTTGTCTATTGTAAAAAAGGAACAACGTTTATATTTTAATGAAAAAAAAAACTATGTGCGAATATTTGAAGTGAAACTTCTTACTAACAGTATTACAGCGCTTTCTGATGGAGCGGACCGTCCGCGTGTTTTTATATTGTATATATGTGTTTATGTATATGGCCGTCATCCGAACGGAGCATACGCGTCCCATGTGAAATTGTTCATATAAACTCATGGCACTTGCTCGAAGTCGCGGACGGTCCGCGCGGACGCTCCGCTCCATCTAAAAGGTTAATTTGGAGGATTTGAAGGACATGTTTCAAAAAGTGACATATAATGCAGTTTTAATATACATATTAATTTCAATTTATTTCTGTAATCTGTATATTTTCTGTTTCCTCAATAGCCTGAAAATTTTGTGGAATACCACCCAAAATATACACTTTTATACAATACATTACATATAGAGTATTCAATTTTTGACGGTCAATTCCTGTTTCACCGGAATTGACAATGACTATGACACTTTTAATTTTTAAATGGCACCCTCGGTATTTTGTTACTTTATTGATAGAAAATGACACTTTGAATTGAATGGCATATCATAATATGTCATCTTTTGACATTTTCGTATATGGTTTATTTCAAATTGCAACATGCGATTCATAACGACAATTTCACTCGAAATACCAAGTGTCTGGTACCGAATTATTAGTAAGAAAATGTACTTTTCCAAATATGTTAATGAGCCACCCTCGTTCCATTTGAAAAAATTGAGATATGATTAAAAATACGATTTGGGCATTATTTAACCGACCAGGACGAGACATTAAAAACATTAGACAATCAAATCTATTTTTCCAAGGCTTCCTGATTAAAAATTAGTATTTTTAACCCTTAACTGGTCCGGTAATAGATATGTATCATAAACGGTCCGGCGTAGTCTGTTGGACTACGCCTTCTAAAAATTAAAAAAAAAACACAAAGAGTAAAAAATAAATTTTTATTTTATTATATATTATATTATGTAGTATTGAACTAATCTAGAAAAAATGAGTTCAATTAATATAAACTTTAAGAAAATATAGTACAAAATAAAATAACATACATATAAATTTGAAAAAAATAATTAGATTTTTACTAAGCTCTAAAAAATAAAACCAAAGTACTAAAAGTCTTTACAATATAGAAATAAGTTTTTAATACTATATATAAAAACAATTAGTTGTAAAACTGGAGTTAAAGAAAAGGTTTTTAGTTACAGCATGAGGCAAAGTTCATTGTTTTCCTGAACATGTTTTACAAAATGGATTCGTACATTCTAGGCATTAAAAATAATTAACTAGGACATAACATTGTATTTAACTAGGATATGTACTCTAGGATAAGAATATCTCCATGGGCGTGTTCTGGTTGTACAGGAATTGCAAGTATTCTATTGCAAGTATCAATTATAAAGTATATTTCTCTTGGAATATTTGACATTGTCAAACGTATTTGTCTGGTAGATTGTCATATTGTCACTGTCACAGTCCTCATCATATCATTTTAATAGAGTTTCTTCATAACTAGAGTCTCCTAAACGCACTATTTTCCAAGTGTCACACACAAAATCTTACACAAACGGTCCGGCGTCGTCTGAGAGACTACGGCTTAAGTATCTTCTGCCATAACTTCTAAAAAACTAATCCAGTTTGGGCATAAATATGGCTATCAGTCGTTGACCGAGAGGGGAAGGATTAGCTGGAACGCCAATCCTGTAGGCGGTCCCAGTAACTAATGAGAATGAGTTAATTATTTGGCGTAGTCTGTCAGACGACGCCGGACCAGTTAAGGGTTAATACAGCCCCGGCACTATAGATTGAAATTTTAAATATAATTTTGTTTTAAGTGAAAATACCAAAAGTTGACATATTTCAAAAAAAATACCGAGGGTGTCAATAAAAAATTGTTGTGTTATTTCCGGTCAAGCAGCAAGTGGCCGAAAAGTATTGAATACGTCAATCAATCCTAATTAGATAATTAATTCCTCTATAGATAAAGAAGATGCAAGGTTAGAACAAAAACCGCTATTCTCCACACCACAAAACTTTTAAATGGAAAAATATTAACCTTCCCATAACCAATTCATTTTTAGCAAGAGACAAAAATATTCTAGAGCAAATAACTTCGTAATTGAATGCGGTGCTCATATTTTTACTATGCTTCAATAATTAAGAAAATTCAACATTGGTATCTTCAATTTCAAGTAGTTGTTTGCCACATTTTGGTCTACTTTCGAACTTTATTAATTATTACTGCAAAATAAAACATTAAATCACCACAATACACCAAAACACTTTTACTTTTACACTTCCAATGATTTAGTGTTTTATTTGGCTGTGTAACTCCAAAGGTTCCAACCTCCAACTGTAATTAATAATTATACCAAAATAATTTACAGCGAGAACTATTGGCCATTTTACCCTAAGTATTTTTTCTTAAAACTCTAGTATTAACTAGATATTATATTAGTATTCTAGTTATCTATTATTGGACCACCGTGTATTATTACTGTGTCTATATCAATATAAAGTATTTCTCTAAAAAAATTGGTTTTCTAAAACATAGCTGATAAAAAAACTCGTGAAATATTGCCATGTCCGGCAATAAAAGTGACTGTATATATAAATAATTTCTCACGTAGAAAAACAAACTGGCAAAGTCTTGCGGACAAAAAGATCTCTGAAAATACGATATGGAACGACAACATCCGTTAGATACTTTTTCGAAATAATAACACAAAAAAGAGAACTTGTTTTCTTTGAATATTATTTTAAGGAAGAAGAAACTTTATGTTGTTTTCAACTTTGAAATTTCAATCCGAGATTTTGTTTACTTCGTTCCTACTAACTTCTTTGAAACAGCTTCCTTAGATTCAGAATCATTGAAAGAGAACTGCTGCGTTAAAGTTTTTAGTTTCCCGTTTAATTATTTAGCGTTGTCTGTAAACAAACAAAAAACAATTTTAAGTGTTGGAATTTTGAGAATTTGTATTTAGTTTGCAATATCTGCAAGAAAATAGTTGGAGAATTGTAGAGAGCAACATAAAGTAGAGCAGAAAATTTAATTAAGTAATCTTGAGATTCGAAAACAACACTTATTTATAAATCGTTTAATGTTTCGACAGTTTCTCTGTTTATTTAATACATCAAAGTCAAAACAATCCTTTAATTAAAATAAATTAGGTTTTGTAGTATTCCTGAAATAGCAAGACACACTTTTGAATTTGTTACGATTTTAAATAAATAATTACCACAACTATTTCGTTATTAAATTAATAAGATTACATTATACGGTAATCCCAAAACATTTTCCCATGCACGTCATCAATCATATCGAAATTAACACTAAAGCCTATAAACCTGACTAAATGAAATTTTGGCAAAAATTTGTTGTATAATTTAAGATACCGAGCAGCTCTTAAAATGAAGAGCGAGAGAGAGAGAGAGAGAGAGAGGGTTAGAAATTAAAGTTTTTTCGTTATGTTGATGCTGTCTAAAAATTCCATAACTTTATTAATCTTCAAAATGTTAAAAGGCGCGAAAATATTCTCATAGGTAACAGACCTATTGGAGGCAACAGGTAAGCAATCAAAATAAATGTGTCTCATTGACATTAAGTTATTGTATAAGGTGCATTTCGGAGGGGGTTCATTTCTGATAATATATGATTTGGTAAGATAAGAGTGTCCTGTGAGGGTTCTAACAACTTTACAGAAAGATCCGCGTTAAAGAGAATATACAGGGTGGAGCACCTCATTCGCCTCGGTTGATTATACGAAAACGGAAAGATGTAGAAACAAAATATTTTAGGTTTATATGTGGGGAGACAATGTGCACAATTTAAAATTATTTTGAAATATACAGGGTGCTTCAGAACTAAGATTCATACCAAAGTTATATTTTTTCTTACGGAACACCCGGTATTTTATTTCATTTTTGGATTCTTGGGCCCAAAAAAAGGTATTTATTATAAGGGTTAAATATGTTTAAAATCCTTAGTTTTTGAGATATTTAAAGATATTTAAATTTGCATGCTACAATAGAATAGACTACTAACACCCTGTACATTACTTTTCAGAATTAATTATTAAGCTTAGTTTAAAGGTAGAGAAATAAACTTTACTGAAAAATGGTATTGGTTCCTTAAATTTATACAGGGCTATCAAAAGTTGCTCATCTATTTTAAGGATATATTTTATATAAAATTTTTGTTATTTCAAATGTAACACCCTGTATGTTTTTAAATAAATCGAAGCAGATTCAAATGCTCTTTCAAACTATATTAGGGTTTCCTATACCTATCTAGCTCAGATTTTGAATAAAAAGCGATTTTAATAAAATTGTAATCAAGATGGCTGGTGTCGCCATGGCAATTATCTAGTGACAGTTAGTAACTATTTTCAAAGTCGACATTAGTTTATGGACATTATTATTTATAATTTATAACAATTTACTTAGATTTACCTACAATAGTTTAATAAGTAAGTATTCATTATTTTATCAAGAAAAATAAAGCAGTATCTGCTGGCGGAACGAATAGATATGTTACTAATGATATTATTTTATGAGG